AAGGCAAAATTAGGCAAAGTTGTTCCACGGGAACCCGAGAAGTCTAGGAGCTCAGCCGTTGACGATCGACACGAGAACTGAAATGAAGTCGGACAAGCCCTCCTGACATTTGCTCGGTAATAAGCGGTCGGGGTCTGTCTCCAACCGTGAGAGGATATCTCCCAATATTACCTGTGATGCGCTTACGGGTCAGAAATGAAAATAGCGCTGGGGACAGCTTGCACCCCTGCTTGATACCAGACGTGGCGGTCTCCACTCTGGCCGTTGCCCGCTGTGACTGGATCCGGTTACTCGAGCGGTCGTGCAGAGCTTGAACCAGCCGGACTGTGTCCTCATCCGCCCCTTGTTCCTCCTGCATGGCAATAATTTCTTAGCGCGAGACTGCGTCAAAGGCTTGGCTCAGGTCAGGTCTAGAGCGAAAGTGACTCCTCCTGCTAGCCTTGGCGGAGTGACTCCTGGACGACGCTCACGACGGGTGGTCTGCATGGCTTGCCCTATGAGGTCTCGGGCCTCTCGCAGGTGGCTGATGACTCTATCCAGAGCATCTGACAGTCCTCTTCCTGGAAGGAAAGCAAACTGTGGCAGGTGTTGTAAGCTGTTCGAGATGCAGGGTGCCAGAGCCTCTCGGGCCGCCCCGGCCAGTCCCGTCGCATCCGGTCGCAATATAATTACCCAGTGGCCTGAGAGAAACTTGGACGGTCTGGTGGTTTCCTGGTTTGGGTATCAAGCAGAGATCAACATAATCTTCGTTGAGGCCGTCCTCCACCTGTCGTCCAGAGAGATATTGTGATAACACTTCTGCCACCTCTTGGCTGCAGTGTCTCCACGCCGCCGCCGGCGCCGAGCCTGCAGGCATGGCCTTGCCAGTCTTATGGAATGAATATGTTTGCTCAGATCTGCCACAGGTAATTGCGCCAAGCTCCCTGACATAGGCTGACGGGGCGGATGAGAGGCGAACCCTTCTTCTGCATCTTCAGCTCCTCCGCAGGTGACAGCAGGCATCCGTCGGAGCTCTTAAGCTGCGCCCTACTTGCCGGTTGCCAAGGTCGAAGCAGCTTCAAGGTCTTGAAGGCAACATGCTGGTCGCCATCCTCCATTGCTTAACTTCCGCCACGAAGGCACGTAAGCACGTACGCGTTCTTTCTGAGCTTGCTTCACAGCCTGCTTGCGCGCCTCTTGGGCCGACAACATTCGAGCCGAGGCCCTCGGCCGGTACATCAGTGTCAATTAGTCGGCTGTGCCGAGCTAGGAGGGTACGTTTTGTCATGGGCATGCTCTGTGTTTCATTGGAGAAGCATGTTCAGCGTTGCTGGCGTGGTTGTGCCTGCATCCTGCTTTAGCCACCCACATGTGTCTTGTGACAGCTTCCAAGGGAGTTTGGAGTACCCTTCTTGCTTTCGGAAAGAAGTGCTGCACCGCTTGCGTCAGCAGTGAGTTCCAGGACTCTGGGTCGGAATGTTTACCATTCTGTCGCGTACCCATTGTTGCACGCGGTATGGTCATTTGACCTGACCTACCTGAATGCTGCAGCGCAGTTTGGTCATGGGATATTGGTCGAGCCCGAGCTTATGGCAGTAACCAGTGCCGCAGTGCCGCATGGTAGGTATGTTGGCTAGTACGGGCAGGTGTCCACCGCTCTTCCAACTGCCCAGATAGAAATCGGCCAGGGGGCCCGCTTGCTTGGCTCCAGACCCAGAGCAGGGTTCTAGCGTGAGGATGAAGTCGATCTGAGTACGAACCTCACCCTGCTCATAGGTGAAGCACTGGCTACAGTGCCAGGTATTCAGCGCGACCAGGCGTAGCCCTTGTCAGATTTGTTTCATCTGGCCTTGGTTCCGCTGCCGGTGCTGTTCTGGAGCCTCTAGCGACTGTGTCGTGGTCAAGGACGTATTGAATCTCCTGCCACGACGGGAGTGTCTCGCTGCGGCACCTGCTTCACGGCCTTAGTCAAGGCAGACAAGACGGCGGCCCTGTCGCTGCTATTGTCGCGCAGGGTCTTGAGGGACGACCATACGTGTTGATACACGGCCAAAACGGCCAGTCTGGCTCCTGCCCAGCATGCACCGACTTCCAACACGCGTCCCGTTTGCCAGTCCTTCCAGCATATCTGAGATTTATTGAATCCGGGGAAAATAACACCATGAGTCATCAGCAGCTGTGGTGGAGGGAGGTTTGCTCTGCTTACCCTCTGATTGCTTACGGTCTTTGCCACCTGAGCGTGCTTGCCTGGCTCTAGAACCGGGAGCGCTAGCGGAAGACTCCTTCCAAGGGGTTTCCTGTAAGGGCAAAACCTCACAAAATTTCTGTGCTTCAACCTGCAACCAATAAGTCTTGATCTCAGCCCACTGCTGCCGACCAAGGTGCCCTGCGTTCCATGATAGAACGCGCACTGGACGGCATTGTTGGCCCGCATGCCTTGAAGGAAGGGCTTGCCGTGGCCGACCTCCGTACGACACAGGAACCTGGCTGTGGACGACTCTCCTGCATGCACATTTGAATGAATTCTTACGCAGAGACGAGAAAATCTGCGAGTGCCCTGCAAGCAACGCCATCCGCTGTTTTCGCTACAGAGCAGCTCTCTCCACTGCGCGGTAAGTGGAAACCCGTATGACAATGTCTTAGACACAGACTGGACCCAGGAATTGGGAGCTGGCGGATGCAGACCAGCTCAGCAATAGTGGCACATGGCTCCGAAAGTGGGGCCAACTCACCTTACGGCTCAAGAGAGAGGCCTTATAGACACTTCTAGAAAAGCTGGTGGTTCGAAAGCCACACGAGCTACCCTGCCAGTCTGATCCGTGGCGGCAACGACAACAACAGTGGTTTATTGAACGCTGAGTGAGCGGGCTCTGCTCATAGCAGGCGCATCAGAAACTTCGGAACGTGCCGTAAGCCATGCCGACATTCCAATAGAGGTAAAGCGGCCTTAAAGCTCCGTAAAGAGACTGTGGCTTCGACCACGAGAGGACTGCCCTGCGATCATCGCAGGTGCCTCCTTCATCCGTTTCTGGAGTCAGAAGTCTTGCTCCGAGGCCTCGAGCAAGCCATCAACCTTAAGCAGAAGCACAGAAACCAAGCTAAAGAAACGGAGAAAGCCCGTCAGCCCCTATAGGATCCTCCGAGAAGGAAAAGGAGGAGCCTTTTCTAACAAAGTTAAACAGTAGGGCCTAAGTGCGGCAGCTCTTCAGCACTTGCTTCAAGGAGGCAGGTCACTTGACTTGGCTATCAGTTCCCAAGAGCGGTGCCCTGGTTTTGTCACGGGCGGTGCCCGCGACTCTTCATGTGACAACTAGGCTCACAGGGTCTTTGTCTTGTAATCTCCGTCACCCTCAGTGTGAGCCATTGCGTCCAATACTCACCAACTGGCAGCCCGTGGGTCGTACTCAAGAGAGCCGTCTCCCGGAGTTCCCGTCCAGCGGCGTCCCACACTAGGTCCTTCCCGACTACCAGCGATGGGCCGTAAGAATGGTTCGTCCTCGAAGCACGTAAGCCGTCATTCTTGGCACTGCGTGACCGGTCGTAACAAGACAAAAACGAACACAACTGGGAGGGCCGCCGCCGTAGCCCGACACCCATAGCACAGCAAGCGCGTCCGCTTACCGATTGTACCCAGATGTGACGTGGAGCCACACCAGGATAGACACCGTATTGGGACTGAAGATGCTGGCCTGCTGTTCCGAACCTTCCACAGTGTCCCATTCTGCGCCTTGTGTTGAAGACACGTCTGGCCCGGCGGCCTGTGGATAAACTTCCCCCTCAGGAGGGGATAACCAGCCCAGGCCCTCAAGGGCACCCCATATAGCAAGAGGGGTCCCTAGCATTGGGAGGATGCTGAAGAGTTGTAGGCCGTGAAGTTGCGCCCATCCTCTCCTGTATCTGACTTGTTCCCAGTCGCTGGCCGCTGGCAGCTTGACTGCAGTGTTGCGCAAAAGGTTCTAAACAAGTGACGGACGAGCTCGATCGCACTGCCTTTGTCGCAACCGGTGGCAGTCTACCCTGCCATTGGCAAAACAGGTGTCGTTTCCGAAGCAGACTGCGCGAAAAGCAACGCGATCCGGGTCCTTCTTGGGAGAGAGTGTTCGTTGAAGCGCAAAACCAAAGAGCCAGCAAAACTGTGCTGAAAAGACCTTCAGCTTTCCCTTTGGCATCTTTCCCAGAAGCTGAAAAGTCGAAGAAGGCAAGAAACGAGGCCTCGTCTCGAAAGCGTCCTTCAACCCCACTTCAGAAGACGCCGCCCAACTTACAATTCGATCCGCTCCTTGACTTGCTTCGTGCGGCTGGTCCTTTTTGTAAGCAAAAAAGCATCGGCGGGAGAAAAACACTGAGGCACAGTCGGCGCGCCATCCGCTTGATTCGCAAAACTCGGTGTAACCCAAGTACGGCCCCCTTCACCGCGCGGAAAGGTGGAAACCCCTCCGCTTCCAGAACTTGCTGTCGCAAGAGGCCCGGGAATTGGGACGCGGCCAGTCCACAGAGGCACGAAGCTCCGGCGCACACTCAAATGTCACAAGCAGAGGACGTCACATACGATTCCCAGAGGAGCCTGTTGCAAACCTTCAGAGCTGCACCCGGAACCTGGTTAGCACAGCTAAAGTGCCGTCTGTGAACCGTAACGGCGACGACGACAACAACAACAACAAACAACGCCAGCAATAAAAATACCAATAACGATAGCAATAACAACAGCAACATACTGGCCCAAATGCCCACTTTTCCCGCTATTTGGCCCACGAGTGTACGCCGCGCTGCGTGCATGTGCACACCGTCGGCACTTGCTGCTGCCGGCACGAGTTCATCTCACGCGCAGTTCTCGGACATCGTCTGTATGATTTCCAGAAACAACACCGAAATCAGTTGCTGTGATTGTTCGTAGAGCTTGAAACCGAAACTTACGAGTCTAAACTTACAATGTCATTGAATTTCTCACGGTATCCTTACACCAACATAATTGTGAAGCGGAATTCTCCGATGCCGAGAGTGAAGGCAAGTCCACGTTTCGATCAGCGCTTCTTGGCTGCTTTCTCGTACGCCTTTCTCTTCAACCTGATGGAAGATGCGCAGTCTCTGCCTCCGTCAGCCTCCTTGTTATATTCCTCCGCGGTCTTGCCTTGGCCTGAGCAGGGTTCACGAAGACCAAGGCCGGATTCAGCCTGCTTGGTCCAATGAGGTTTTGGCTCTGGGAAGCCTGTGTCGTGAATAGACCTACATGCGCTGCCGGTGTCGCATGGACGCTGCGCGGCCCCTTCTTCCTTCACCTCTCTCAGCAATACGAACAGTGACCCTAAGACTCGTCGTACTACTCTTATTGGGCACTCCGGTGCTTGTTGCTGAAGCCTCCTGCTCTGAGATGGGGGCAGCCGGTTTATGGACTTGGGCCCGGTACCTCACCCTGTCGGTGCAATGATGCCACAAGTGCCTTCATTGAAAACCTCGAGCTCTGTTTTACACTCCTTGGATCTTGCACTTAACTGCTTGAAGTGGAGAGCCCCATCAACCGCGGCTGAGGACCTGGCGATTCTTCAGTGCCTCAGAAGCGGCTGCTGGAAACGAGGGCGAGATACCGGAAGACGCGTCCGTGCTGTTGGGCATGGTCCTTTAGTATGGATTCAACCGAACCTCATTCAGGAGGTTTCTCAGACCAGCAACCGCCAGACTCAACAAATTTCGCCCTCATTCAAGCACTCCACGGCAGACAGACAGACTTCGCAGAGCATGGTCGAACATGCATTCAGGTAGGGAATCTTTCAACTTGGGGCCGCGGCCACGTCTGGGTTCTTGTTCAACACCAGATTCGTTGCCGTCATCCCAAGTCGGTAGCAGTAGTGCAGCACTGTCATACCTTGGCTGCCCGGATGCAGAACGTAAGCGAGAAAAGATGCCTTGGGCTCCTTGGCTCTCTTGAGCCAGTATCGGAGGTCGCACCTCAAATCAGCCTTGGGTTCTGGGAAATATTAGTAAGTAGAAAGTATTTAGAGGGCTCAACTGCAGGCCTACCGCTCCACATTTCGCTTCTCGCCCCCCCAATCCCCCCCCTCCAATGCAGGCCTACCGCTCACTTGCCCTCAGTTCCCACCCCCCCCCCTCCGCCCTTCCGCCCGCTGCCCCCCACTGCTTTCCTTCTTAGAAAGTAGAAAACATTCCCCCCCACCCCCAGCCCCCCACTTCTCCTCTTCCAAAAAAGTCGGTGCCTGCCCTTGTGCATGTCACTCCCGCCCGTGTGTTGTAGCCCGTGTGTTGTAGGTGATGCCTGATCTGGCCCAACCCGGATTTTCGGCTCCAAACTGAGGGCTAAAGTATTTATAGGGCTCCGATGCAGGCCTACCGCTCGCTTGCCCTCAGTTCCCACATTTTGCGCCCCCCCCCCCTCCCCCCCCCATCTCCCTTATGAGTAAATAGAAAGAAAGTATTTATAGCGTTCCAATGCAGGCCTACCGCTCGCCCCTATAGAGGGCTCCAATGCACGTTTAAGGTTCCGAGACCTGCTTGAGAATCGGCGGCACTGGCGGCAGCCATGAAATCGGTCAACGCTCTGGGCTTGCTGCCGCAGGCCATGGCCCTAGCTTTAGCTNNAAGCCAATGCCGCCGACCCGCCCCGGAACAAGATCATGAGCACTCGGCGTGCGTGCAGCGGCCCATCAGGCGCACAGGCGCAAGCCGATGTTTCGGAGGTCGGGAGGGGTACCGGAAGGCGTCAAATTAGTGCCCGCACGCGCGCAATGATGCCGATGATGCTCACTGGAAGGCCTCAAAGGTGGCTCCAAAGCGCGCGCGCGCGCGCAATGATGCTGGCCACGCAGGCGGCAGGGGGAGGGACCAAGCGGGACGGGGCGCGCGCGCGCATTGAATGATTGATTGATTGATTGATTGAATGATTGATTGATGGGTTGAATGAATGAATGAATGAATGAATGAATGAATGAACGAACGAACGAACGAAAGAATGAATGAATTAAGGAATGCATGAACGAATGAATGGACTGCCTGCGTTGCCCGACTCTGGGCGCAGCCCCTTAAATATTTTTACATCTTATATCGTGGAGATATCATGTCGTATATTGTTACATCTTATATCGTGGAGATGGGGCCCGGACCGTCGTGGGCTTGCGCGTTCTGGGCGCAGCAGGCGGGAAATTGGGCTTCCCACCCAAGGGTTCAGGGTGCAGGGTCTAAGGTTTGGGTGTTAAGGGTTCTCGATCTACAGAAGTAGTACAGGCTTCTTCGCTCTGGGTCTGGGAGAATTGCTTCAAGATTTCGACATTTTGCCAAAGTGCCTCATGACTTGCTCCGTGCCTGTAGATGCCTTTTGGGTCAGCGCCCTTTGTGCTCCTAGGCTCTTGCTTGCCTCTTCGTCCGACCATCTTGGATTTGCACCCTGAGGAAGGGCAGAAGGACAGGGTGAAGCCAGCAGGGGCATGTCAATTTTATTGCAAAAGCGGGCCGCTGGGCGAAAGGCCGTGACAACACCGGAAGGCTGGTTGGTGAATGATCCCTAAACCCTGAACCCTAAACCCCTAAACCCCTAAATCCCTTGACCCTGAGCCCTGAACCCTGAACCCTGAACCTTACACCCTCAACCGCTAAACCCGAAACCTTGAGCCCCGAACCCCCTAAGCCCTAGACTCTCATCTGCTAGGGGCCCGGCAATGTTTGCACCGGAAGCAAGGAGCGGCTGAATCACCTTCGACTGCGTTTTGCTCGCTGCCAGAAGCAGCGGTGTTTGGCCTCGGAACTGGAAGGAGGGTTTGTTAAGGGTTCTATAGGGTTTCGAACTCGTGTTACAGCACTGTGTGACTTTATCTGACAATTCTACTAAAGATTCCCTGCAACCGGAAAGACCTACATGTTTAGGGTTCCTTATTATGGTTTCTATATTTTCTTAAAAGCGTAGGTCTTTTCGGTTACAGCTCGAGCTACCTGCTATACGTACTGCAGTCTTGGACGACAAGGAAGATGCTGGGGCCTGTCGGAGCTATTTGGGAGTCTCAGAGAACATGGGACCCGTCTAAAGAACCCCAAGTACTAGGACCCTAACAAAAAAGAACTCCTGTACATAAGGTACCCCCGATTTTTTGAGACTTCCAGGCTAAGGCTAGAAAGAACGACATCCCACATGTCCCCTCATGAGCTAAGTCTCCGGCCGAAGTTGTTCGCTACATCCTGAGTTGGAGTAATTTGGGGGCCTGCAGACTCAAAGTAGAGTTTGGGAGTGCGGAAAACGATAATTTACAAACAAGGGTTTCGGGCTTTAGGGTTTATCCCTGGTCTTCCAGGCAGAGCTTGAAACAAGCAGTTGGAGTGGGGGAAGACCAGGAATTTCGGTGCCTGTCAGTATCGTAAACATGATGATCCTCTTGCATATGTTGATGCAGTTTTGCTGCCCGTCACTCGACGACCCTGGGACCACTCGGCTCAAAAGACTACATCCTCGTTCCAGGTGCAAGGCACTCCTCCTGCCAACCTCACGGGAGTTGCTAGGGCTCCAGGCGACGGGCGCACGGGCGGCCAACAGTTCTTTCACCATCTCAACGTAGCCTTTCTCCGCTGCGGCCAGCAGCGGCGTGCGCCCAACTCGGCTGGGGAGGCGGAAGGGTGCATGATGCATGGTATACTCACATGGTCTACTCTCAAGTATGATGAGCTTTCGTCGTGCGAGGAAGTGCTACTGAATAGGACGCAGAACAGAGGAGGACGAGAATTATCCACCGGCATGAAAGTTCGGGGCGCAGGAGTCCAACGGGGAAGCACGTCTGGCCAAGGCTTCACAACATGGAAGTCGACGAACCGCCGGCCCGGCTCTACATCCTGCATGACCCACATCAAGCGCAGTATGCTAGAATTAATGGAAGACTCATGGGTTTTACCTCCGCCTCAGCCCAGCTGAGCGCCTGACCACATGGGTAACAGTCAAGAGAACTCCGGCTGGCCTGGCTGAAACAGCAAAACAGGGGTTCTCGAAAGAAAGGTCTTCAGGTTTGGAGACATTGCAAGCTGAGAAGGCGAGGTGTAAGCCAAAGGACATGGAAAGATTCCGGAACACTGCTTGGAAGCTAAGAAAGAGACGGAACAGTTGGGTTCAGCGACCATCTTCTAGCAGCCCTACTCCAGGCTCCAGTCAGTTACTCCAAAAACCGTAATTTGTGCGCACACATCTGCGGAGGTCTTAAGAAGCTCTGTTTGGTCTGGCGTCAGAAACGCTGGGCCCCCGACCAGATTTGGCCTCTTCGGTAGTGAAGATTTTCCCTCATCACGACGATGGTCTTGTACCGGTACATCGTTGAGCTCGCCGTAGTGATGGAGCAGCCCACAAAACTTCATCATGTCGTGCTTCTCTGTAGCTTCCAGCAGCTCGACGTCGGCTGGCACAGGGAAGCGAAGCCGAGCTTCCAGAACGACGCACAATCGAAACCCTCGGCACCAGCACTGACAAAACAAAAACAAATCCCAGCTTTCGCAAGCCCTGTCCGCATGCTGCTGCCACTGCGAGCCTGGATAACTGTAACTGTAAGCCCAGTCTGAAAGCGCCTTCCGAGGCTGCTTGAGGCGGGCCACCAAAGAGCAGAACAAGGTGGCACGGCTTAGGTTTGGAGCTGGGCCCTAGGACCCTTGGACTGTTCAAGACTCCAGGCGTGCATCCGCAGGATGGAATGAGAACATCTCAGCAAAAGCCCAAGGCACTCTGTTGAGGTTCCTCTTGGTCGCATCGTTCAGCCGGTACGCCTGCTAAGGGACACCGGCACAGCAGACTTCAAAAAGCCACGGAAGCCACACCTCGCAGCCAGCTGGCGTGCCGCCCCCGCCCCAGCCGTCAACCTCCTGCACAGCTCCCGGGTTCAACATACGAACCCTTATTCGGGTTTAGGGTTTAAGTTTTAAGTAGGATGACGAACGTTCCCCCTCGAATCCTGTTTGCTAGTATCGCTGTTGAGCTTACGAGCACAATGACGCTTGCAACTGCTATTGAATGCTATTGGCCGATGCTAAATCCACTACAGTCATGTGCAATAATTCTCCTGTCATTACTTTCATCATCCTTAGTGTGAGAGCTGTTATCCAGGTTCTTCAATCTGTTTGCATTACGGCGTCATTACGTTTCTTACCAGTAAAACGGCTCTTGTGGAGATATTGTTCGGGGTGTCTGTGTACCAATGTCGTCATCATTCCCCCCC